GTAGAACCCCTCAACCCTAAGCCCTACCCAAACCCTAAACCCCTTTTTGTACCCTAAAGTAGAACGGCCAGGCCGAGCCGGCCGTGGCCGAGGCACCGGGAGGGGCTTGGATTCGTAGAGGTCGCGCATGGAGGGCTTCGGGTTTTAGGATTTTAGGGTTTTAGGGTTAAGGGGTTTAGGGTTTAGGGGTTTAGGGGTTTAGGGGTATAGGGGTTAGGGTTTTAGGGTTTTGGGTTTAGGGTTGGCTTCGGTTCCTCGCAGACCGCTTTGTGAGCATTCTAAGCGCATGTCCTTTTGGGGTGACGAGGCTGCTTTAAGAGCTCAGTCCTGGCGAGAGGAAGATGTAGCAAGCAGGACGAAGCTGGATGTTGAGTTTGCCTCTATGACTGAAGGTTCTAACACGGTGAGGTCAGGTGACTTCCTTCACCGGGTTCTGAACTTCGGGCCGCTCCGAAGGGTTCTCGGCCTTCTAGGTGGAGTGGGCAGGCTGCTGCACAACACGTGTGAATTTTTGTTTCCCCGAATCTCGTTCGCCAAAGAAAGGGCAGCCGAAAAGGGGTGAGTTTCGGGAGGCATCGTTTGCGGGTTTTGCGGCTTTTGTTGCTTTCGTCATTGGCCTGGTCTGCACAGTGCAGGCCCTTGGCCGCGGCGAGCTTTCAAAGTATTTCCGTGGCCCGTATCTGAGAGGTGCGAGCCTTAGACTAAAGCAGGGTCTTGCAGTGCCTGAAGGTTTCAGCAGCCATCGCAGCTGTCCGCAGCGAGAAACTGACAGTGCCTGACAGCCACTAAGGCGAAGTCTACAAAGGCTCGCTCTACTCGAGTTTCAGCCTGGACAACGAGCTGCTGACGTTCGACTACACAGCATCGGATGGTCTGGTGCACGTGTGGCAACACGCAGTAATATTGTGCGATCCTGGGGACCAAGAAAGCCCAAGTCAACGGGACCTTTGTGTGCTTTACCACTACACGAACGAGCTGGCCTTCCGCAATGTGGCCAACATGGAGCAGACCACTGCCGAGCTTTTTGCATCGCTGGTGGACTCCAGGGCCCACTTCGGGAAGGGCGTCTACTGTACTCAGCATGAACCAGCTGCGCTTGGGCACAACACTGTTCAGCGCGCCACATTGCCTAACCAGCTATATAGGACCACTTGGACAGCTTCGTATGCCCGGTAATACCCCTGCTTTCCTCGCGCTGCATGGCACCCTGCAGCGTCGATTGAGGTTGCCGGATCTATTGCACGCATGTGCTGTAGGCAAGCATAGACACGGTCGCAGACAAGTTGCCGTGAAATCGCCTGCAGCAAGGTATGGGGCTCCCGCACTCGCATTTTGCTCAACAACTACAGCAATTTGAGCCCCCTGCGTCCGGGCCCAGGTCGTCCAGTTTTTGCCGGACTTGCTTGTTTTGGCCACAGCTGTGGCATCTGCGATGAAGCTGAGGCGACACAGGGGACACGGAGTCGCAGCGGGTCGAGAACGAATGGGGCGCAGGCAACACCGGAGGCCATCGCGCAGCCTTCTGTATTCCGATTGTGGTGTCCGCGGAGCTTGCGTACAACATCTTTGAAAAGCAGGCGTGCCGAGGCATGCAGTCAGTCCTTCTTGCCATGTTGTTGATTTCTGTTTGAAGGCTGCCTTTGCAAGCTGTTTTGCAGAGGTACTCGCGTTCACCTGTCCGGTATAGTCCGAATGGTAAAGGGCGCTAACAATCTCTAGCCTCCTGCAAGGGCCTCCTGCTGCTCTGCACTCCAGCCACTTATAGTCACTGGCAGCTTTAGCATGCTTTAGGCCTGACCTCGCCCAGAAGATGGTCCGCGACCCAGACACGGGAGAGGAGCGCCGGATCAACCTGGGAGAAGACTATCGCGGCCGCAAAGTGGATCCTGGACGCGACGTTTGGGTTCTGCAGGTGACAGACGATATGGGCAGGGTGAAGCATGCTGGAGCCGAGGCGGACGGCTTGCTGAGACTGCTCCGGCTTCGCTTAGCCAACCTCCGACGAGAGCTCGGCGACGATGCGGAGATCACGTTGGGCTGCATGAACGAGCTTGGCAGGAGGCTGCATGGCCGGGCCCTTTACGAAGAAGCGGAGCAGCTGTACAAGGAGTGTCTGCGAGGCCGCCGGAGCCTCAGCCCGACTTCCGTGCCGACGGCTCTCCGTACATCAGAGCCACAGGCCCCAAGATACCCCCAAAAGTATTGCTCCTGCGGAGCTGGGCACATGCCTTGTTTTCGCGAGCCTTGCAAACTCCAGCTGCTCCAAGACGCCATGAGCACTCAGCACGAGCGCAAGAGCGTCATCGTTCCTTCGGGGGGACTGAGACAGCCAGGAAATCGAGGTCCGGTTCCGGAACTGTCAGTCCCGCAAGCTGAACACCATATATGAACAACTGATAGCCAACCAATGTAGTGAACCGGCAGAACAGGTCGAATCCTGCAGGATTGGTCGAAGGTTCGGGGATGAATTTTGGGAGGCACAGCACATTGTTTGGTTTAAAGCTCGCTGAAACTTGTGAGGAGCATCGGGACGAACTACCTGTAGGTTATAGCCACAATTCACAACGCACCCAATACTGGGCTACTAGGTTGCATAGTAATCCATGATTTAGCTACGTCCTGCCTGGGAGGAAGTGTCTCAGAATGGCCCGTGCTGGCTTCAGTCAGTTCTTCCCAAGCCAGCCTCCTTGGTTTGTCCCTGATCATCTCTCCTTCGAGTGGCTTCGTTGCGTTTCGCAGCAGGAGCGTTCACCCGTTTTTTTGTTTGCATTGTCCGTTTGTTTGTCAGCCTCGGTGCTTTCCGATGAACCACATGTCTTTAGTGCGAAGAAGCGGCTGGTCGGCGATGTACGGTTTGGGGCCCCATGGGATGCACGAGTTGAGCAGTAAGAACGCCACATGTCTACGACTTGTTGGGCTACACCTGCCTCTTTTTTTTTGGCGGAAACGAGTTCTTCGGACTGGTTTCAAAAGGCTGGATGTGCTGCGTGAAACAGGTGGGGTCAGGTCTTCTACCACCCAGTTTTCGACCTTAACTTGTTGGATTCCGGGGCATCTATTGTGATAGGCTCCGGAGTGAGATCGACTAGGATTAAAGGCTTCACGATTCTGATGCTTTGACTGCTTTGAATCAGGCTTCGAAGCGATGCAGTGCGCATGACATGAGACAAGACACCGAGGCAGGGCCAAACTTGGTGAAGAGCATCCAGAAACGCTGACTTCGATGAACAACTT